GGCTACATTAGGGGGGGGGGGTCGCCTAATATGCAAAGGAGTTCCTGCTACAAAAAGAGCCATCCATCTATCTATCTATCCATCCATCCAAGGCTCTTTTTGTAGCAGGAACTCCTTTGCATATTAGGCGACACACACCCTAACGTAGCCAATCCTCCAAGAGCTTACAGAGCACTTCTTACAGGGGCTACTGTAAGCTCTTGGAGGACTGGCTACATTAGGGGTGTGTCGCCTAATATGCAAAGGAGTTCCTGCTACAAAAGGAGCCCTGGATGGATAGATAGATGATGGATGGATGGCTCGTTTTGTAGCAGGAACTCCTTTGCATATTAGGCGACGCACCCCTAATGTAGCCAATCCTCCAAGAGCTTACAGAGCTCTTCTCACAGGGGCCACTGTAAGCTCTTGGAGGATTGGCTACATTAGGGGTGTGTCGCCTAAGATGCAAAGGATTTCCTGCTACAAAAAGAGCCTTGCCCGTACCCATAAACACCCCCAGGGTTCCCAATCCAGAGGTTGAAGGTCGCTGGTCTAAACAGTAATAGGACTGGAATGGTTGACGTCATGACCTACTCTCACTACAGAAAAAGGAAGCGCTTGCCTGTGGAGTTAGAAATAGGTCTGGCTGTATGACTCTTAGGAAGAGGAGAGTGATTGTATTCCCCCCAGTATGGCTCTGTAGACAAAGATGGGGCTTGTTAACTTCTCTGTGGCCTGTGTTAACTCTCTCAGAATTACACAGAACAAAATACAGACATATTAGCTTTATTGGCCAACAACACACATTGAGATTAAAGCACTGTTATATGAGGAAAACTGAAGAGCAGACACAGATCGCCAACTAGCATACCTGGGTCTCTCTTACTATGGCACGATACAGCTACCAGAAAGAGAAAACTCAGCCACATTTATGTACACTTGTAGACTGAAGTAGTGTTTCAAGCAACAGTAGCCAGTAATTCCTGCTTTGGTTAATAGCTTTTTCAGGGAATAAAGTTCAGTATATGACTCAGGAGCGGAGTTAGTAATTTGTCCTGCAGTAGTTTAGATGCTTTCCCACCTGAGTACTTAGAACACTGCAAAATCTTTCTCCCGCATGGACATTGTTTCATGCTGATGGTACACACACACACCCACACACCCCTACACTTTCTACCCCTCCAGCTGCTGTTTGAACATAGCAACGCCTTCTAACCTCCTGGCTGAAACCAAGGAGACCCTCCCTCCTACCATACCCCAGGAAGGGGTGACTCGCTAAGCAGAAATTCTAAGAAAGTGAGGGTTGTTCATCAGTGCTCCACAAAGGGCTAAAGATGGCAGTCACTCAATTAAGATATTTAAAGAAACAAAGGCACATGTTCTTCAGTCTCCACTTCAGCTCTGGAAAGTCAATATAAACCACTCCAAAAGTTATCTGGGGATTTGTGTAGGGCACATGACCCTAGCTGGGGTCGTGGTGGGAACTGTATAGGACTATCATGAGCTGTAACTGGAAGAAAGAAAAATGTTAAAAGTCGAGGCAGATGCACTGCAAAAGCTTTATCCGACACTATTTGCCAATACAAAAACTGGATGTGTAAAGTTGATTTATACAGAATCAAACCATTGGTCCACCTAGCTGAGTACTGCTTATACTGGCCCCGGTCACACGGCAAAGTTGCAGCGGGAGAGGCACGGAAGGTGGGCGGATTATCCGGGCACGATCACACCCCATCTGGGAAGTGGAGCGCACCCGTGGCTTAGCGCCGACAACGCGCATTTAAAAACTAGTACCTCCAAGGTACTAGTAAACGTTTGCCACGAGACGCCCGTGGTGTGATCGCGCCGGCGCGCGGCATTCCCCTCCGGTCCCTCGTTTACCCGCTGGCGCCAAGGAAAGGACCCGTGCTGTGCCGCCGGCGTGTCTGATCGCGTAATCACGGATCAAACTGCGCCGGGGCAATTAGCCACGCCTCCCCCCCGCGATATCCGGGCCGTGTGCCCGGGGCCACTGTCTAGAAGCAGCTCTTTAGCGCGTCTCAAGTCAGACAGCTTTCCTATCACTTGATTCGTTTACCTGGTGATTGAACTTCAGACCTAAGGCATGTGAAGTATGTGATCTTGTACTGAGATTCAGCCCTTACCCCTGCAGGATACTCCGCCGTGGCAACAGGGCAGATACTACAGCTGATACTTTAAATATACGAAAGGGAGAAAGTGTTACCTGGAGGATCACCATGATTGAAATCAGACACAGGAGGCAGCAGTGCAATCGACAAGCCTGTGAAACGAGCACGGGCATACTCAGGCTTAGCTAAGGATACCTTAGAAAGGGAAGCGGCCCATGACCATCTTTAGATGCACCCCTCTGTTATTGGGCAAGTTAGCAAATCCAGTGCTGGACGCCACAGCTAAGGACAGCCACTGGGATGGAGTAATTGCAGATGCAAAGAGACACTAAACTCTTCAATTTGTTTCAGGGCTTTCTTTTTCATTGCTCATACTTCGGAAATTAATGAGAGCGAACAAGCAGTGGGTCCCCTATCGCCTTCAGCCAGACGATGCCCAACAGTTAACGAGACTATGGAGACGGATACAAAGCTATCGATGCACTTCCCCTCCCACGAAAGGAAGTGCCATTCTGAGACGGAGGCAAATTCCTACGGAGGAGGCCCGCTCCATTCCAGAACTGGAGTTCCCTTGACAGCATTCTAGATAGCGAAACCCAATTTAAGTGAAAGCCCGAACGTTTAAAGAAAAAAAATAGACCACGGATTCAAAATAGGGAACAGGACGATCTCCGATGCTTCGTTAGAAAGGCACTAGACTTCTCTCGTCTTCAGAAGGGCCTGCTGCCTCGAGACAGGGGCAGTGTGGAAGAAGCAGCAGGCTGATATGGGTAACCTGGTCCATCCATAAGGCAAGCAAGAGGAGAGAGCATACCCAAGCAGGGGCAGCCATTGGCAAAGACAGTGACCCTCTTGGATGGGATACAGCTGCCGTCAGAACCCCTGCGTGTCCCGACAGCCCTTTCCTCTGGGGTACAGCAGGAGAGGATTCAGCTCCTGATCCGCACACGCGTCACGCATTCTCGTGGCCAGTTGTCATCCCTTCAGAGAGAACCTCCCTGGTGATTACAAGAGCCGAGAGGGAAATATGGGAGGCACTGGGCCCTCGACAGCTTGGATGATCTCTCTTTCAGATGGCACAGTGGGCCTGGTTTTTAATGGGCTGGTGTGTTTTTTGCAGGAAAAAAACCCTGCAACTACCGTGCTTTGGGGGGGCCACACAAAGAGACCGAGTGATCCCTGGGTTTCCTCTGACGCATCCCAGGGAACTGGCAGAGGCACCAAGAGAAATTTCAGTAAGCAGCAAAAATTCCTTGCGGAGCTGGATGTTTTTGTGCTGCGAGGCGGAGGACAGGTGGTGAGCTGGAGGGGTGGCGGGAGTGGAGCACGTGGGCGGCTTCGACTTCTAGTAAGGTTCTGCTTTCAAGCTCCTGTACAAGCAGCAAGTGAAGATCATCCCAAATATCTAGAAAGCAAAACAGGAACACAGATAAGGCATAAAACAGATAGGCTGAGAGAGCTCTGACACAAACTGCTCTTTTTCAAGAACAGCTGTGCCAGAGCTTGTGACTGACCCAAGGTCACATCAGCAGGTGCAAGTGGGGGAGTGGGGAATCAAACCCGGTTCTCCCAGATTACAGTCCGCACACTCAACCACTACACCAAACTGGCACCAAACTGGGAAAAGAGAACCCGAGTATATGAGGCAGTTAGCCTGAAATGAGGGAACAGAGATCGCAGGAGGAGCCACTGTTTCCTACAACACTTTACAAGCGTTCTCTAAACTGGGTCCTGAGATACTCGAGTGAAAGCTGGGCAGATTAAAATATTTTAAATTAATCAATCTACAGAGATCGCAGGAGGAGCCACTGTTTCCTACAACACTTTACAAGCGTTCTCTAAACTGGGTCCTGAGATACTCGAGAGAAAACTGGGCAAATTAAAATATTTTAAATTAATCAATCTAATTAATTAATAAACAGGAAAAATAATAGATTCAAGATCACGGCACACTCCCAGCCCTTAGCAAATTGTATTTTGCTGTTCTCAAAAGTATCCACAGAAATAAACAAGGAGGGTACACAGTATGGAAAAATTGTGCTGACAGAAATAAACCCACCGTGATAAAGATGCTAAGATAAATAATGCTGTTCTGCAAAAATAAAAAAATGCTTTTTTAAGGTAATGGGAAAATACAATAATCTGTGCAATATAATCTGTGCAATATAATCTGTGCAATATAAATATAATACAATAATCTGTGCAATATAATTTTTAACAATATATAGTGCAAAGCTATAATATGAAGAAATTAATGCTGGCGATGCAAAAGAGGTTAACGACGTGCTCTGGAATGTCTCGTGTCAAATGGTATTCCACTCGACTGTATTTTGCCCGAAATGAACTTTCTGCTCGCAATTGCGCTTTGTTTATGATCAAAGATGTGTCAGCTATGCTGCCATGGGGGTGGGGGAGTTCATTCTGTGTCTTGGTAATTGCTATTGCATTCCT